AATCCAGCTATACAATTCTCTATTCAAAAACATTCTACAACTGTTATAGTAGAAGTTGTCAACGTGAAACAGGCCACCCTTTCAAATCACTCTTTTTGTTTTGAAAATATCACCTGATGGATTTAAAATGAAACAGGATTATAGTAAGGAGATGGAATTTGAAAGAAATTCACTCAAATCCTAGAAGATCTCATTTCACAGTAATACATCAGGTATCATTTGAGTTCCATCCCTCCATCATTCACCATCTTTGCCATACTCGTTCACCACAATGAGTCATCTCATCCACTGATGAACCCTTGTTTCATCAGAATCATTGGTCGTCTACGGATATCTGATATGTGAGGACATTTCAGCCCGCAGCAGCTCGTGAACCCTTCTTATAGGGTGATTTTTTTTATTGGAAAAAGTGGTTGAGAGTTCTTCTGAAAATTTCGGAGAAATATTTGTTCATATACCCCGTAAATATAAGATTTGTTGAAGAACGACAGGAACTTGATCTACATCAGAGCGTTATAGTGTTTTCACGATAAATCGGTGATGTATCGAGAATTCTCTCAATTTGAATAAAATTTCGCATTTTTGAGCTACCCAATTATTCACTTCAGTACTGAAGCTTAGATTTACACAGGTATGTCGGTGATAGATTGTTTGCGTATGCCAACAATTCATCAGAAGAAATGCAGTTTTTTCGTTTTCGTTTCATGATTCGTGAACCCTTATTTACTGACGCCACCGTATGCATTTTTGGCAACTATGTTAACTAATAATCCGAGGTAGTGACAAGAAGAACGAATACTCCAAATTGGAAGCATTTTTATCGTAGGCAAATTTAGATATCGTGTACTGAGAATCTCGCCCATGTGTCTCACAGATATATGAATTTTTTAAAAAGATGAAGGACTTGATCACAGTGAAAAGAGAACTGTGCAGACGCATCTTGTCCCTAGAATTTTGTTCGATGAATTTTCATTTTCATCACTCATTCTATTTAATTTGAGACAAAATCATCCAAACAAACTACATTAGATAAAGTCAAGGAAATATTTTTGCCATATAATATAATTTTTCGTCAAAAATCTCTGAAAAATATCGATGAACTTTGAAGGACCCGTGGTATTACTTTCAATGATTTCCTACTAGAAGACCAAGTTTTTCAGCAATGGGAAATAAAACAAAAATAATTTCGAGAACCATAAGCAAAATTCACATACCAACAACGACAATCAGTACTTTTCCAATCCTGTTGGAATGAAAATTCCACTTGCTCTGAGAAATAATTATTCAAACTCTTGGATTCCTATAGGGATTTTGAGTTCAGGAAAACATTTCTTTGTATACATAGAAGAATGAGGAGAACAAGTTCAATACTTTTATTTTTTGTTCATATTTTGCTATTGAAATAATGCCGAAGAGACAGAAACATCAAAACATCTTATTGCTCACGAAAGATGTCGACATCTTCAAATTAAAGCCAAAGAAAAACATTCTCTCGTCAGGGCTTCTTGTAGATATATTTCAGAATTTTACGCGAAATCCGTCTCTCATTCGTTTCTATTGTTCACTAGCAGCCTTCGGTCTCGCTATTATAGTTGCTGCTCCGCTTATTAATCAGAAGTTCATGAAACATTCAGCATTCAGTACAACACTGTTTTGTGCCTCATTTCAATGGATTATTGTTTAAATGCGTCCAGTGATGTGCTCTGTGCAGTTTATTTCGAAACTAGAGAATTACACATTTCAATTATTGTGACAATCGACGTTTCATTTATTTCAGTCTTTTGATCGTTGATCACAGAAAAACCTAATAAGTGGTGCAGACCTCGAAATGTGAATAATTCGTGGACAGGATTAACATGCTGCAAACCGGTTATTACCAACAAACAATTCATCAGAGCTCATCATACTATACCAACACCATGAATGAAAATTCATTCGCTTTTTCGGAAATCACGTACATTATAGTGTTTATTCATAAACTTCTGTGGACTGCGTATTAGTAAGGAAGCTGGCTGCCAAAATTTCAATTTGATCAGCACATGTGGCAGACGTTATAAATAACGACTATTTTCTTCGTTCAATGATGAACCAATCAGAACGTTCAATTTATCGAAGCTACCTTGTATTATTTCGAATATACGTGGATATTCATAGAGTATTTCCACATATCAGAAATTTAGAAATATTTCCACTTACTCACAAAGTGCTTTGTCAAATTTTGACGTTCGTCAGAACCACTCGAACTTCAAAGTCTTTAAGTTCATTTATCTGAAACTTCCTGCACAATAACAAATCGTGTCAGTCCATCAGAATAATTCTCTTGCTTCGTGGTCGGATTATTTCAACCATTGAACTATGGTACTCTTTGTGAATATGCAACAAGTCATCAATGTATAACCTGAATATTATGAAGTACTTATAGTAATAATACTGATCAATTCATTCACACCCGGCTGGACCTATGAAATGTCATGATTGGAGTAACATGATATGCGATATCAGCGGCTATTTAGGTAAACAAACAATATGAGCGGCTATTCTGTTGGACAGCATAAGAGTGCTATGGTTGTCAGAATTTCGACATACCTATTAGTCACTCAAAAATTGAAATATCTCGCTTTTGGTCAACTTCCATTACGGAAATTCTCAATTATGTTAGCGAACCATTATCAAAAAATACCAAGAAGAGTAAGGAGTCTGTCTGGAACAATTCAAGTGTTTTTGCCAGCAGAAATACTATGAATTTTCTGCGACTACCCCAACTCTCGTGATTGCCCAAATCCTGAAAGATTGGGCGAGGGGAATGGTAATGAATATTAGGAATACCTATGGTTAAAATTGATATGGAAAATTACTTCAATGAACATGAATGTAGGATAGATCCATTTGGATATATCGAATTCAAAGGTGCCAGGGATGCGCATAATGCGAAAAAGCAAAGCCTGCAATATTTTTCTCAAAAATGAGAGGAAACTTCAGAAACACTAACATTAGATGAATTGTATTTTTCAGCTGTTCATGATGTAATCTTCCTGAATATCACTCGACCATTTTCTTTAATTCATCTCGAGTACCTTGTATTTTGAGACAATTTGATTCGACCATATGAACATTAGTAATCATAGAATACGAGCTGAAGCTCTCGGGAGTTATTCAGATTATTAATATTAATATGGTCTCATCAAATTGTCAAAATAGAAGGCTACTCTCGATAGAATTATAAAGAAAATAAAAGTCGGCTATTTGTCATAAAGTCTCGGGATATTACCTACGATAATCATACGAATCATTGAGGACAGCGTCTGCCACCATAGTAGCGCTGCGTTGGCAATTGACACCACTTAGAATTTGTTTGAAAAGTGAGTAGGTACTAGATTATTTGCACATGTTTGCATCTGGAGATGATGGACACAATCATCATGACGTAAACAAAGAAAATCGATCAGGCAGACATCCAGGGCTCTGACTGTCGTAGCATTTAATCTCTTTAGCTTTTTGATCATTTGAAAAAGTTTATATGAAGTGCTTACTTGAAAGACCTGAGTTGTTCGATCAACAATAATGAGAAAGATTACAGAAAAATGGTGTGCTAGCATGGTGTCCTTGTGTTGTCAATTGACAGCGCTTCAAAAATATAAGAAAAAAAAAAAGGTATTTTTTCTGCAACCGACACAAAAGTCGTCTACTTCATCACCAATACATAGGAGAATTCGAATTCTTCATGTCATAAAAATGTCAATTCTTTTTTGGTTTATTCGAATATTTGCCACGTCGATCATCGAATTATATCTGTTGAACATCCAAAAAAAGAGCAGAAGGAATTAAATTCCTGTGAAATTGAGATTTGACAATCTCTCAAATCTGATAAATAATATATGCGAATTCTCAGATTCAGAAGATTTAGTTTTCGAATTCTTATTTTAATTCAATGTATTGCAGTGGCGGCTCGTGATTTTCATGACAGAGAGGAGGCTGAACTATATGAGATTTATTGTGAAAAACAACTCTCTACTCACCCAAATCATTATATCCTAATCGCCTCCAACATGATGACTTATCGGTTGAAAATGATACGCAGTACCAACAAAATAGCTTATTCCTTACCTCAGATCCCGTCAGCCAGATATATTTTTCATAATTATCAGAATTGAACAAACGATTTTGTTCCTCACCTGTTTCAACCAGATTTTTCAATTCCGGTGTCGGACGTTTGTTTTTCACAATCAATTTATCTTCATAAGACAAAGCACTGAATGGGTTCACCAAAAAGTATTCCACTGAATCGCAATCGTTTAAAACACTCATTTTTCAGAAATTCATAGAGCTCCTAACCATTAACCCAACATAAACATAAAAAATGCCCGCAATTCGCGACGCGACACGACAAACTCATGCTATTCGGGCGTATTCGGGCATTTGCATTGCGCGAGTGGGTTGCGATTTGTGAAGGAGTCTAGCCTCCTATAGATGTTGCCAAGTTGAATATTTTACGCGTGATTTGCAGACTTCAACGTGTGATGCGTGTGCAAGCACTGTTGCCAATTCAAAAATATTCACCTAAAAACAGGAAATGAAATCAAAATACATTTAATCTGGTGTCCTCTTAATGAGAAAGTATAGATAATATCAGTTCAAGGAAAATCTCTGAGGATGCTCAGCCTCCGTTGCCTCCTCTGAGGAGCCGCCACTGATGTATTTCTTTATATGTATATCCATTTCTTCATTCTTCCATGTTCATGATTTATTTGAGGATATTTCTTCTCAATGCTTCCACCCAATCAAGATTTTCAAATTCGAACGATGGAAACTTATTATTTTCATAGACCTCAAATCGCAGAATGGATTTCTTTCCACGTCCTGTATGTTGAATATCCATTTATCATACATCCAACAAGTATTATTTATATACTTTTTCCTCACATTCAATGAAAATATGGATGACTTCGTTATTAAAATTATTTAAGTTGTTTGTTATCACGGAAACTCTTTTTATGTTTCAGAACATGGAAATATTATTACTTCCTGAGTTACTATTGGATACTTGAAGGACCTCGTTCAACAGTCATCGTAGTAAGTTTTTGATGTATGCCTTCCATTCGGTCCTCAAAAAGTTCAAATTGTCATAGAGACCATTCAAATTTTTTGATCAGAGATATTTTTCGTTGAATCGTATGGTTGAGATTCTGAGATATAAAAGGATTTTGAATGAAAAAATCGAAACGATACGATGTCAAGTCAATTGAAAACCTTGATTTTATAGAATAAAGGGTTGGATACTTGGATAATTTTTCAATGAAGAATGTTGATTCAATCAAGTACGTGAGCAAAATTAATTAATGATTGTATCGGCACTGAAGGATTGGGCGATAGTGATTTTGGATTATCGATTATAGATAATCAAAATGTATCAACCAACCGATGCTGTTGGTCAACATCATCGATATTATGAAAAAAAATTCTCGATATTACCGATGTTATCGATAAATCGTGAATTTTCATTTGAATATTGATATTATCGATATTGTCGATATATTGTTCAACAATCACCTCTCATACTCCTAATTGGGACGTACGAAAGGAAAGATTGGGCGTGTTATGGGAAGAATCCGAGCTAAACTATATTCCTTATAAAAATATATTAGGTGGCGCTGCTTCAGAAGTTACACTGACGAAATGAATATAATGATGCGTAATCCAAAATCATGTTGAAATTCTAATGTCTGAAACAACTTCCGATTCGAGATTTATATCTGTATTCATCATGTTAGAAACTTCGACAAATAATTGGAATATTATGATATGATCATCTTTTCACAGAGAAAACTTCACCCTGCACGCCACGTTGTAGGTCATAATATATAGGTCGCGTGCACTATGACCGACCCAGGAGATGAAACATTGAAACATTACCTCACTTTTCTGTGAAACATTGAAACACAACCTAAATTTTCTAATTTGTTTACGAGGAGATCAAAGAATTGAAATAGTTTATTACAATATTTTGGAATACGAATCGTGCTTTTTTGGGATATATTTCATCTCGAGCATGCCATCACATTGTGCTGTTGTACCAGGTGATTCAATAAGGATGACGAGATTCTGTATCTGAGAAGCTAAGAATTTTGTCAACAAGGTCTGAATCAAGAAAGGAATGTTCGACGAATGAAATTAAAAATCATACATGTCATTTTGGGGTTCTTACCGCCTTCGCAAAGGGGCGTGTTTTATAGACTATTAGTTTCTGAGATACAGTACCTCGCCACCCTTATTGAATCACCTGGTACAATGCACAAAAAATGCAGCAAGACACGAAAGAAGTATGATTTTTCAGGTAAATAGAGTTCTCACATAGTTTTCATTATGAAATTTTGTCATTTCTCATTAGAATTACTTCTGCCACTTCTGCAATAGCAGTCGGTCGACCACAATATTCAATATCAAAATTATAATCAGTGTGACTTCAGTTTCGGCTCAACGGCCATCTTCAGACACAATTAAAAAGTACCTAGAAAGTAATAAGTAGTACAGGTGTTGAACAAAATAGTAGCTGAGAGCCATTCCAATAATCATTCCATTTGATCTATTCCAAAACTGAACGTAACGAGAATTCGTTTTTCGGCGCTATTATTATACGAAGTTATGGCGTCAGCTTACATTTTATGAGGTAGAAACACTCAGATATCATAAACGTTATCTTTTTCATTTCAGGTGAATCTCCTATTTCTACTAAATATCATCAGAGTTTTGATTGTGAAACTTCGAGAGAGTCATACGAGTGAGATACAGCAAGTAAGGTGAGTTTTTTTTATTGATCTACTTTCTGATTCACAAATATTGACTGACTGAAAGAGTCGAGATTCGAAGTTTCTCAAAACGAAATATTTCTATACAATGCAAGAACAAGAACTTCTGCTATAGGGTTTGAACCGAGAGAAAAAAAGCATACTTCTTGTCTCGTATACGTGTCTGCAAACTGCTTCTAGGTACACATATTGTTTATCGAATCGTTACATAATATATGAGTATTAACGAAGTATAGCATTTGGCAACATGGCGAAGAATCGAAGAGAAGCGATTGGGCATCACTGTCATGCCCGTTGTTAGGTACCAGATTCACTGTTTCGCGGTAGGTTTACCGTTTTATGTTGTGAACTACCGCTCTTCCGCAGATCATCAATATTCATACCGCTGACATTTTTATCTATATTCTCAGTGTTTTGCAAACTGTGAAAAAAAAACAAAATACGATTTCATCCTGGTTCAGTTCAGTCATGTAAATAGTGGTATAATATTTGCGGAAATATTGAAATTTATAGTTTGAGTGCGGCTACATCTCTTAAAGTAACCACCCTATATATACGAGCTACGTCGCCGACTGCAGATTACGTATAACGTCAGTTATCGTTGAACGCCCAAGATTCGGACTACCACATACTTTATGTAATTATTGATCGCTCGACATTTCTCTGCTGAAGCTCCATGATCTGAAGGGAGTTCATACCAAGCAAGACTGATAATTATTCATTCATTTTATTTTACCTCTCAATTACCAAGTGAATGGTAAACAACTAGAAGTTACGAAATCTGAAATTTTCAACCGCTTTTTCATGTCAAGTCTACCTCTCATCTCATTCTTGACCTGGCAGCACTGACGAAGACATACGATAACCAAATCACTCTTTCACTATATTGTCATTCACTACCCTAATGTAAGGATTGGGCCAACAATTTGTTGTTTTAATCAACAAGTATGTTGTGCCCCATCTATTCCTAACAGTATCCAATATATATCTTTCCATGAGTACTTATATACAGGGTGGAGATTTCAACTGGAATGAATTCTACGAAAGCGCTGAACGGACATGATACTTTTTTTTTATAATTGCCAGTTTGAACTGGCATTCAGCTATAATTGCCAGTTTGAACTGGAAATTAGTTATAATTGCCAGTTTGAACTGGCATTTAGCGCTTTCGTACGAAAGGACCCCGCAAATGGAATGTCACAGTTCAAGCAATGACAGCTCTGTCTAATAGATGCCCATTACTTGAGAGGAAATCAGATGGCTACCTGACGAAGAAATCAAGAATGTCGCTGTTATCTGTCACAGCCGTAGGAAAATTATGGTGTATAACTTGCAGGGAATGCTAATTTCCCACTCGAATGATTGCAGCCTTATTAGCCTACGGGTCATGCTGCAAATTCCATTCTCGGGAAAAATCACTAACATTCCGTTCTTGTTGAACAATATACTATAGGTCTCTAACGACACAGTGGAGTAATTGAATGCCAATAATTCATTATCAGTCCACTCGCCCTTTGCGTTGGTCGAAATAATCGTACTCGTTCGCATTAGTTTTTTGGCGTCACTAGATGGCGATAACATCACTAGATCCTTTCGTACGGAAGCGCTAAATGCTGTTATATGAATATTCATTATATAATTGTATCTAGTTTATTTAGAATAACACCCTGTCATTATTGTAACCGAAGGGACTGAGAAAATAGTTGAATGTTGTTAGAGATAACAAATTATTATAACTTGGTATGAAAGAATGGTGTGAGTCAATGTTCGAGTTTGGTGCACAATAAAAGTTGTATCTACCATACCTTGTATTCATTACATGGCGCAGTCGTATATATACATGAATTCAAAAGAACCCGCTTCACTGAATGAATAGATTGATATGGATAATTTGAAACAACCAAAGGAAATGTCACTCGAGGGTGACATAGCATTGAATTGGAAGAAATTCAAAGAAGCTTATAAACTCTTCATGGTAGCATCTGGTTGCAGTACGAAAGAGAAAGAGGTAAAAGCGGCAGTTCTGCTACATATAATTGGCGATGGAGCTCGTGAAATTTTGGATACATTAGGCTTGACAGAAGATGACAAACAAAATGAAGAGAAGATACTTCAGGAATTCGAAAACTATTTTGTTCCAAAAACCAATGTTAGTATTGAAAGATTATTCAGGTACTTCAATAAAAACATTTGGTATCTCGATTTTATCAGTAAAATTCAATAAAAAAATATATGACTTGAATTTTGTTGTTGTTGAGACTGGGAAGGATGCTAATGCAATTTTAGGTTTGAAATCTTGTGAATTATTGGGTTTGATAAATAGAGCATCAATTAATGATATTAAATTGCAATCACGAGATGATGTTTTGAACAAGTTCAGAGATGTTTTTTCAGGTATGGGAAAAATTGTATGTGATCCCATTGATATAAAATTGCGTGATAATCATGATGCTGTTGTAGTTCCGTGCAGAAAGGTTCCATTTCAGTTGATAAATAAATTGAAGGATGAGTTAGATAAAATGTGTGAAGATGAAATCATTGTAAGGGTCACTGAGCCAACTGAATTTGTAAATCCAATCACTATTGTTAAAAGAAGTAATGATCAAATACGCATTTGTCTAGACCCGCAAAAATTAAATCAAGCTGTCCTAAGAGAATATTATGAATTACCAACATTTGAGGAACTCATTCAGGATATGGACGGTTCATGCTACTTTTCAGTTTTAGATGCTTACTCAATGAGAAATCATCTAAATTGACAACATTTGCCACACCTTTTGGCAGGTATAGATTTTTGAGACTACCGTTTGGATTATCAGTTTCGCCGGAAATCTTCCATCGCATTTATAGTGAAATATTTGAAGGTATACCGAATGTTAAAATTTATATTGATGATATAATTGTTTATACAAAAACAGAAGAAGAACACGAGACAATCTTGAATAGATTATTTATGAAAGCAATTGAAAAAGGCGTAAAATTCAACCCTGAAAAATGTAGATTTTTTGCTACAGAAGTCAAATATATTGGTCATATATTGTCGAGAAATGGGATAAAACCGGACAATAAAAAAATTGAAGCAATTAAAAAAATTCCAGAACCGACGAATGTGAAAGAATTAAGTAGATTTTTAGGAATGGTAACGTATGTATCGAAATTCATCCCGAATTTTTCTCAACTCACTTGTAATCTGAGAGAGTTAACAAAAAAAAATGTGATTTGGCTTTGGACTGATATACATTCTAAAGAATTTAATAATTTGAAAGTCAAATTGACGGAACCTCCTGTATTTCAATTTTATGATGTGAAATTACCTATTGTTTTATCAGTTGATAGTAGTAAAGACGGTATGGGTGCAGTAATAACTCAAAATGGAGCTCCAATAGCATATGCATCTAAATCACTTACAGAAAGTCAACAAAACTATGCTCAGATAGAGAAAGAAATGTTAGCAATATATTTTGGTTGTCAGCGATTCCATCAATATTTGTATGGAAAACACTTTATAGTTGAAAGTGATCATAAGCCACTGGAAATGATTTTCAGAAAACCTTTGAATAAATGTCCTTTACGACTACAAAGACTTAGAATTAATTTGCAAACATATCAATTTCAAGTGGTATATAAGCCAGGAAAATTACTTTTCTTTGCAGATACCGTAAGTAGAGCTAGCTACGATGATCAAGATTTCATATTACAGGATTTAGAAATTGAGGCTCATGTTAACTTGATTAACTGTAATAATACGGTTATAACAACTCTTTTGATGTTTTGGAAAAGAAAGAGATTTTGATTTGTTATAGGCACGGCAGCTCGCTTGTTTGGGAGCAGGTCGTGAGTTAGTTCTTTTTATTGTTCACTAGTGGGGTTATCCTTTTGTCAGGCGCCACTCAGTTTTCACAGCTGAATTACTGAGAAAAAAATCCAAGATATAAATATAAGCCAAAATAACTGTTAACTGATTTATTCACCTTAACATGCCAACAATAGGTATTCAAAATGGTGGTAAATATATGTTCTATGATTATAACTCAGTACAAGGGTAGCTTTCCCTTCATATAGGCCTATACTTTGGGTTCACAGAGTCTCTAACAGACCCAATAATTCTCTTAAATGTGAAATCCGATCTTAGACTGTTGTGTTATTGACAAATGTTTAAATATCTCATGACATTAGACAGTGAAAAATAACTATTTAAATGTCCTCAGACAGGGAAAAAAATATGTAGATTAAATGTCCTCAGACAGTGAAAAAATATGTAGGTTAAATGTCTTCAAGACAGGGAAAAAATATATAAGTGAAATGTCCTCAAGACAGGGAAAAAATATGTATATGGAAAATTCTGACCTTAGCTGCAAGTTCTGGATTTTGAACCATGAGATTCCAACTGTGGTCCACTAGATCTCACTACCTGGATGAAACAAAGACACTCCTCCCTCAGTCGGCGTTAGGGGTTAGGTGTGCTAGGAAAACTGGATCCCCACACAGTTGACAGGAGTCACAACCACCTGGAGACCTGGGCACTTGGTGTATCCCAGGGCAACTGGATTCTGCACTGCAACTCTGGCTGACGGGTCCACAGGCTGCCACCAGGGCAAGCTCTTCCTACCATCCAAGCTGGACCAGGACGTCTCACTATCTGACTGGGCTCTGGGAGTTCAGGCTCCAAAGTAACAAAATCCTAGGGATTAAGGATCAATCAACCATACCGGGAGTCTGGACTCCCCTGGACTTCCTGTCAGAAGTCAGGATCTCTGGCTATCTGAACCAGAAGGCTACTAGGGACTTGCACTGTTGGCAGCAAGGATTCTGCCAGAAATTCCAGGCTGTCGGGTCCTATAGATGCCCAGAGACATACACAAGAAATCACCAGGGTCTTGCTGCCACCTTCAAGTGTGTTGGTGACTCAGGCTTCAAAGCACGAAGATCCCTCAGGTGCCTCCTGTCCAGAAAACAGTTCAAGATTTCTAAATGCCCATAGTTGATGAATT